GCCAACAGCAAGGCCTCTGATAAAAAGGCTTTGAGGAGCTTGTAACCACCTCTTCATTGCTGGTGTTCCAAAGCCCACCCGGACCCGGGGTTGTAGCACTTGTTAGGGTCCCAGCTATGGGCAATTAGCTAACCCCCAAACTGGGATCAAAGCACTATGAAAGTGTAAAAATAGGTTTTTAATACCGGCAATAGATTTTTGTAAAAAAAATATTAACAGCAATGATTTTTGTAAAAAATTATTACCAGCAATGAATTTTGATGGAAAAATGATTACCAACAATACATTTCTGAAGAAAGAAATATTACCAGCAATACATTTTTGGAAAAAAATATTACCAACAGTATATTTTTGGAAAAGAATATTACCAGCAATACATTATTGTCAACAATATATTTTTGAAAAAGAATTTCACCAGCAATACATTTTTGGAAAAAAATTTACTAGCAATACATTACTAACAACAATACATTTTTGGAAAATAATTTTTACGGGCAATACATTTGTGGAAAAAATATTACCCGCAATACATTTTTGGAAACAATATTACCAGCAATACATTTTTGGAAACAGTATTATTAGCAGTACATTTCTGGAAAAAAATATTACCAGCAATACATTTCTGGGAAAATATGACCAGCAATAAAAATGTCGGCATTAAATAACGCATTGAGGTTGATATGACGTAAACCAAACCAAACCAAACCAAACGAATACATAATGAGATAGATAGATAGATAGATAGATAGATAGACAAAAAATATTACAGTAATAAAAATCTTGTCGACATTAAATAACCCATTGAGGTGTTGATATGCCGTGAAACAAACCAAACCAAAACTAAATCCAAAGAAAAAATGAGTTCAGAATTTTTTTAAAAAATGTTAAAGAACTAACGAACACGAAATAATTTTCAAACAAATAAAAACAAAAAAAGCATAAAACTAAATATTTCCATCGTTTCTGGCCACTGTAACTTAAGATTTTTCAAAAAATGATTCGAGTTTTACATAATTTTCTCAGATTCGTTTTCCAAATTTTAACCGATTGAAATCTTTTTGCATGACATTTTTGTTTATTCCTGCAATATTAGTAGCATATGTCTGGCGTTGATCAGTACAGATTAAGCAGCAGAAATTCTTACCGTTATCTCCAAGACCTACCTCAGGTTCCTTACTGGCCTCCGCACAATTGTATTTTTGATAGACTCCAATTTCCATTCGTTTTACTAATCTAACTCTCCTCAAATTTCTAGCACCTTTTTTCAGTATCCATGCAGACCCCCGACGTCGTGCTTTGGACAAATTCAGTTCATTCTCGAATTATTATCTGATACATTTTTATGTTTCACTACATGTCTGCTGGTTATCGGTGGATTCTGGGAGTCATCAAGTTATCATAGTTTCCAACACCTTCCTCGGCCTCATTGCATTTACCCGAAATCCACTCTGAACAGATTCAGGTCTCCGTGAATTTCATATGCGCCGTGACTTGATTCCATATATAGTCTACTGCCCCCGCTGTTCATCTCGAGGTCCTAGACAAAATCCAGAGACGGTTATGCAGTGTGATAGGTCCTGATCTGGCATCTCGTCTAGAGTGACTTTCTCACAGACGCGTTGTGACTTCCCTCTGTCTTTTCTAAATATAGTTTCATGGCAACTGATCTGACGAGCTGGTGCCCGAACTGCGTGAATTTAAGCGTGCTACTAGGTTGGCATCTCGGTCTCACCCTTTCACTGTCGAAACAGTTAAATGTAACCGCATCTTCTACTCCAACAGTTTCTACACTCGCACTTCCCGACAGTGAAACTCCCTTCCTCTTCCTACTTGCTTCCCTGGTAGCCATAATCTTTTTATATTCAAATGTAATGTCAATCGACATCTTCTTATGCCTTGATCCTGATCCAGGTCCATCTCTGTATCCTTTCCTCAAACACCCCCCTCTTTACTCTTGCTCTCACTCTCTGTAACCCCTTGCGAGCTAGTGGTCCTCCCGTCTCACTTGGGGTGAAATAATTTAAACAAAAGAAAAATATGCTTGTTTGCCTGTGCGGGAAAATATATGCAATTGTACGATAGACATGTGTATGTCACACATTATGAAATGGACAAAGTCCGATAATTATTATTATTTTTTTTTGTCCATTTCATAATGTGTGACGTCATTTGTTTACGTTTGGATACGCATTGAGCAGATATGAATATACGTGAGAAAATCATGGAAGATTGAAGTTTAAAGGCAGTAAATTCGACCTTGCTAATAGAACGATTCTCTGTGGCTCGATCGGTTAAGAGCACGTCAGGCTAAATAACGGTTTCAGATAGGATACAGTTTCGGATCCTGTCGGAGAACAAATATTTTCTATGAAAATTTATCGGACATTCAGGCGGGTAAATGTTGTTTAAAACTGTTTATTATGAACAGAGCATTTACTTAAATATTTGTATCTATAAAAAGAATGTATAAACATAAAAATATCTTTAAAATAATTGTCAG